TGGACTGGTTCTGGCCAGTTTACAGAGGCTGCATATGTAAGTGCCTTCATGTCCCTGTTTCAGCTTTTGATTCATAGGACCTAATTGTAATTTACTTAAAGTCTCTACCCCAAAATGAACATGGGTCATATGTAACATGCATGTTTCCTTACTATGCATGCATACATCCCGTCTTTGTGAATATTCATAGCTCCTCCTATATCCCCTTGAATATGTATACTTGGCCAACTGTTTCAGCATAAATTCCTGTTTTCTCTCTCCTCCCTCAAAGTACCTGTTCTCAGACTCTGCTGGAGGCTGTGCTTCCCAGACTGTCAGGATGGCCACCCTGCAGGCTATAACTCATTATAAGAAATAAAGCTCTTCTCTCCAAATCTGTAGATCTCATGATTTAAGTTAACAATAGAATGTTATACTATTGCTGACTAATACCTGTTTTGCTTCTCTAGAGGAGAATTATTCTTCCTTGCCCCATTGTAATCAGGCTTGGCCATGTAACTTACCAGTGAAAAGTGAGAGAAATATTACGTGCCAGTCCACTAAAAAGCTCTAAGAGCCTTTTTTCCTCTTCCATAGATTTCTCCAGCTAATGGTTGCTTCGTCAGCCTAGTCCTGGAGTTAAATTAAGATGAAAGAAAAACCACAGCTGATATGTAGTATGAGTGAGAAATAATTAGATATTGCAAAAGCCTCTAGGATTTTAGAAGTTGTTTATTACTGCAATATAACCTAGCCTAACCTAACTGATAAACAATGTGAATGAGATTCCCTAAGAATCAAAAGTAAAGAAAGATCAGAGAATGACCTTGTACAGAACTTATTCAGACAATTCTGAATTTGTCATTTCATAGAAGAACAAAAAACACAACTTAGTTACACTTGCCTAGTTTCTTTGAGTATAAATTTAAAATTTTTGCCATTAATTTTTCTAAATAAAAAACTTGGTATTTAAAAACATTTGCTAGATTAGACAATTATTCTGACTATCTTTGGAAATGCTCTATGAAATATTCTGTGATGAACAGTAGCCACTCTTAACAATTTAGAGTGCTCAATATATTTTTTTAAAATATTACTTTTGCCTGTAAACTTTTATACATGTAAATTCACCAGCCTAACACTCTTCATTAGATCACAAGAACTAAAATTGTTCTTTAATGTTAGGAAGTGTGTTTTTGCCTTGAGATAGATGAACTAGGCATTCTTTCTATGAATAGTCAGTGGCTGATCACTGAATACGATTTTCTGCTCAGCACTCTAGCAGAGTGGCATAATGAGAGAGAGAAAAAGGCAACACAAAACCCAAGATCATAAAGTTAGCAAATAGGAGCTAACCCCGTGGTTTAGATATGTGTCACCCTCAGGCAGCAGATAAAACCTTATTATTTATACTAATAAATAATATATGACTTGAAAATTTAAGAGGAATTATTAATCAAAATTGTCTTTCTATCAATCAAGTAGGTTTACTATGAAAATTTAGTTTTTATGAGTATTCATTCTATCTCTTGTATTTTAGAGAAAACCGCCAAATCAATTTTCTAATTAAAGTCCATACTATTTCTTGCCCTTTTCACTATTGTTGCCCCAACCCTCTCCAGGGGTTCTCATTTACCAAAGTATGACATGTTTAGCATTTTTCAAAGGAATTAGTTTGGGTTTGTAAAATATATATAATTGGATTAGTTTTTTCATATAATTAGATTTTTTTATTAAAATGATTTGATAAATTAGTAAAATGTGATTTCATGTGTCTCTGTCTTTTATATATGGACAAGCCTACAAATCACAAAACATTCTTGTGCATTATCAGAAAAATTATATTTTTTTATTAAAAAATGCATGATCTTTGATTCTAGAGTCTTATCTACCTCTTCTTCTCCTTCTGCCAAGTATTTAACTATTCTACAAAATTAACTCAGAGTCCTTTTTTTTCTGAGATGGGGTCTCACTATTTTGCCCAGTCCAGTCTCAAAGTCCCAGATGCAAGGGATTGTTTGGGCCTCAGCCTTCCAAGTAGGTGGGGCTATAGCCACATGCCACTGTGCCAGGCTCAGACTCATTTTGTTTCAGAGTGGTACTAATCAGGAAGAGGAAGCACATAGTAATAAAAAGAACATGTAATTGCTTTAAGAAAACTCAAATTTGTTAGCCTAGATGCCTCAGGTTTATATTGCAATACAAATAGAATAAGGGTCTGTGAAATGGGTGTCTTTTCTCATAGGCAGTTTTGTGTAAATTCAGCTTAAAGAGAATTTGGCTCAAAATATCTGATGAGTGTGCTGGAACTCTCAGTCTCTCAACCTATATAACTTGCTTATTTGTTTTGTTTTTTCCTGATATAGGTCCTGATGGATTAGGAAAGCAGTCTTTCCTAATGTCCATCACTTCCTTCTTTTGGCTTTAGAATATTTGCACCAACTTTACAGACTTTACTATCTCTTCTGCTCTTTTGAAATTTTCTCTAGCTCCAGCTTGGAAGGGTGTTTCATCATCTCAACACTATTTCCACTGTTAGGTAAATTCTGGCATGTTTATGTTGTCTTCAAAAGACCAATGCAAAGTTTGTTAACATTTCAGCTTCTAAAAGGACAGAGCCTGGAAGACTGCCATCCTTCAAAGTTGTAAAAGAAAATACAATTTAAGGACCCTCTAAATTTATTATGCCAAGGGTAGTGGGGGGCAGGTTAAGCACTGGAGACTGAGTCACATAACATATTTGCAATTTCTGCTTCTTTAGGGTTAATTCTCTTCCTCATTGTTCTTGTTCTGTAAATGACTAGGAGAGACCAGACACCAGACTGCCTCCCCCTTCCAATTAGTGATATTTGTTATAGATTAACTGCATCCTTTATTGTCCTGTACCCAAGACTAGATGGTGCAAAAGACCCCATAAGAATTATATCCTCAGGATAAAATGTTAAATATACCTTTCCCAAAAGAATAAGACCACCCCAACCAATGTCAGATTATTGTTAACCAAGCATTAAGCCTTATGTAGAAAGAAGTGTTGAAATTCTGTTAAACTTCCCTAAACTTTGCCGATAAAAATGATACTAAACTTCTACACTTTGGAATACTGACTTCCATTCTTTGGAATCTGTGTTTTCTGGGCAGCCACCCTCCAACTTTACACTTGCATAAACTCTCTTTAAACTAGATTCTGACCCTTTGGATTATTCTAGGTTGACACATTCTAGTCTCTAAGTTAAGAGATGAAGGTATGTGGTCACAACTCATTTACTTAACAGAGACAACACACTTGGGGGCTTTTCTTAAGCCAACTTAGCAGCTCTACCTACCATACATATATTTTTAAATGATGTGCATCCTTAATGAAACAAATATTTTCATATTTTAAAAAAGTCAAGATAACCCAAACATGAATTCTTGATTACAAAAGTCTAAAAGTAGAAAAAATTGGGAGCAAGGAAAAATGTCACTTTAACCCTTTACATCAAACTCATCTCTTTGTTCTTCCTACCTACTACCTTCTTTGCATCCAAAGGCTTCAGGATTTTTCTGCACTTCTCTATGCCAGATGCTGCTTTGGTGGTCCCCCACTCATTCTCTTTCAGTCCTCAAAATAAAGCCTTTAGTCTTAGATTATTAGAGAAAAGGCCAGTGCTTTCCCTAAAAGGTTTTACATCTAAATTAACACAATGGCACAATCCAGCTCTTGCCCTGGATAACAAAGAGGTGAGTATGACAAGCTTGTCTTTTTTTCCTCTTTAGTATGTGGTGGCACAAACTTGGCTATATCAGAGAACCAAACCAAAGGAGTGAAATAAGCCTCAGTCATTCAACAGACATTTTACTCAGCATTCACCCCATGCCAGACCAGGTGGCAGCATACAAAGATGAGGCATGTGTTCAGGCTGAGGGAGGACACAGGGTTCTTAGGGAGGGCAGCATGATGCATCTACCAGCAATACCTGGGTAAAGAAAATACAAAATGCCATAGGAACTCAGAACATCACTATCCCTTACAGATTCACTTGCAGCATTCCCAATCCTTGTAACAGCCGATATGTGTCCAGTAGATGTTACACTGTGTAATAAGATTGTTGTAATCTATCCTATTCATTCACTGTTTATTTTCTATTTTCATCAATCATACCCAGAAGATTCTCTTTTAGTTAAGACACTACCATTGGTGATGATATGAACGTTTTCTCACCATTGCCATTCACATGGACTGGAAAACAATTGATGTGTAACAGTTTCTGTGTTCTAGAAAGTGATTTATTAGGGGTATATCCATGAATCACACAGGAATATTTTCTCTGTAGATTTTGAAAACCAGTGGTCTTATATTTAAAATGTCAGCTTAGGGAAACCTCACTAGCTTCCCCTATTATGAATAAGCTGGTCGTTGGCAGGAGCTATCCCAAGGGGCCATTCAGAGGCCATTATTTCACCGTGAAGACTCTGTTAAAAAGAGTAATTGGTATCAATAACACTTACCTGTGTTTGCAGAGGGAAGGTTACCCAGCCATAACAAGCCCAGTATCACACAGCCACTACTTAAAACAACGCAGTATTTGGAATTTATGAGAATAAAGCCTGTCTGTAACAATGCCCTTATTGGGGCCTTCTCGATTCATTTAGCATACTTTGTTGTGTACTCACAGTTAAATCAAATCTGCCATGCAGTTATAAGCTAAGGTGCTGCATACAAGATGCAAATACTGCACACTGAAAAGGTTCATTTCTCAAAAAGAGTTATGGGGTACGTGGCTTCAAATGCCTTTTATGACTATTCCTCTGAAACAGCCACAGGACTCTTGCAAAATGCAAAATCTGGAATATAATTAGTGATTATCTTAATCTTATAGGGGTTTGGAAAAATGAGAGGAAACAATTACCATTATAGAGAAAGATGGCTCAAGCATGAATCAATGTGGCAGGCACATAAGGAAACAGACATGGGGCTAGACAAGGGAGGGAACCCCCAGTGACGACGAGGAGGACAACAACAACAAAGATCATTGCTTAACCTGTTTTGTCAGAGCTGGTATTGATGGTATTGGTAGTGATGGAGGTGAAGGTAGTCTTTGCGCTGTCCTTGGCAGTTACAGATTTCTGCTTATTTTTCATGGCTTCCAGTGCTTTGAGCTTCTTGGCATGTTTCGTGCCTTTGTAGTGGGCCGCAGCCTGGCTCTACAAAGGAGAACAAAATGAACCATGCAATCAGGCTCATTTCTAAACTGGCATTCTCTGTATTACTGCAAATACAGACTCCCTTTCAATAACAGGTACCATTCGAGCTAATTCTGGCCGTGGCCAAACAGTGGGGTTCTATTTAGAATGATGCTAGAAAGCAATGGGAATCTAGTTCTAAAACCTCAGGATAGAAGGAAGAAATATTCTATTGTTTATCTTAAGAGAAATGTAGCTGAACACTGACACGTCAACAACATTTTCTTTGTGAGAGTGGGGGAAAAAAAATAAGAATTTACACCTGTATCGTCTTTGTTCTGCCACAGAAGATGCTGGGCTCCCAAAGATTAACAAGAGCCCTAGAAAAGAGTAGCTTTCACCTTCTAGGCTTGGAAAATGCATTTTCTGTTTCTACAGTGTGTCTTATAATACAGTCCCCAACAGGTGTCTACAAGGAAAGGTTCACAAAACAGGAGAAGTAAGCACCCTGGAGACTGAAATTGAAGCTTTAGAGTTCAAAAGAAAATGCACTGCTTAAGTTCAAATGGAACATACAGAAGCTGGGCAATTTCAGATTCTTTCTCCTCGCTTCTTACTGAGGGTAGTCTGAGAAGTTCAACTTAGTGTCATTTTTTTCAGCACATGGATCTTTCACACCCCAGTCCATTGTCAGGAGGTTCCAGTGTGTTTGGACTACCTAATGGGGACAATCCAATTCTTTTGCTTGGCCTTCTGATATATATATATATATATATATATATATAGTTTAGAGTGATATGCATTTTCTCATGTTTTATTTTCTTAAGAGCATTTGTGTGTGTGTGTGTGTGTGTAGGGGAGCAGTATAGTGAAATACATTAATTGCTGGGCGTGGTGGCTCATGCCTATAATCCAAGCACTTCGGGAGGCTGAGGTGAGTGGATTACGAGGTCAAGAGATCGAGACCATCCGGGCCAACATGGTGAAACCCCATCTCTACTAAAAATATAGTCCCAGCTACTCAGGAGGCTGAGGCAGGAGAATCACTTGAACCCGGGAGACAGAGGTTGCAGTGAGCTGAGATCACACCACTGCACTCCAGCCTGGTGACAGAGCAAGACTCCATCTCAAAAAAAAAAAGAAATACATAGAGATAGAAAATCATATTTAAATAAATGTATGTTTATTAATGTTTATTTATTGGGGGATAAAAGACTTTGCAGTTGGTGGGTAGGGTAAGGGTGACCAGGAAGATTCTTAAATTAGGTTTTCCAGGTCTTAACCTTTCCAAATGTCCCCCACAAAAGGATATCTCAGTAGAGGATTATTCCTGTTAGATTATCCATTACTTCCCATTGCTTGTTTAAACTAAATATTTCACTTTGCCAAAAAATAATAATCACATTGTCCTCTTCATTACAGCAACTGTGATAACTAGGGTGTTGCAATATAATATATTTTAACAAATAATTAAATAGTCCACATCTTCATTTGCATCATTCTAGCAAGATATCCTCAAAGGACTAGGTACCCTTATTGAAAGAACACTGGACAAGGAAATTATATATTAGAAACAGTTTGAACAGAGAGCACACTCATGCATCAGTTACAAGTTTTCCAACAACACATAACATCAAAAGACATAGTGTGAGCCAAAATATGAAGTTAAGACATGCTATAGTTAATTGAGGAACCAGTGATAGATTGGATTAAGTTGATTCTACATGGAGAATGTCACTTTGAGGACAAAATTTTGTCTTTTATTTTTTCCCTAATTCTCATTTTTAGTATATCAAGTCCTCTGGCCATAACTTTTGAGAACGATACGCTGTATTCAATTAAAATCACAGAGTAGTCGGTCATCTTCTTTAGGCATCTGGCTATAACATTTCCCTTAAAGCAGAGTTTCTCTTCTCTTTGCAAGTAACCCTTTCCTTGGTGATACAAGCTAATGTTTAACAGATAATATATATTAAAAGATGGGGGGTGAGATTAACTGTGCTATCTCCATTTATACCTCCAAAATATACATTTCATAGGTTAGATTCTAACAAATCTAACATTCTTGGTGACATTTAAAATTAAACAATACTTTGTTTTAACATATCATAGGACCAGGTGATTATCACTATTTTTAAAATTAAGAAACTTACTACAAAAGAAGCCCACAAGTTAAGAAAGTCTTACACCAAAAAACAAAAACAAAAACAAAACAAAACAAACCCAAATACCAAACAAACAAAAACCTCTCTGCACAGGCACAACTAAACCAATGCCCTCTAACAAGTGAAACAGCTCGGAGAGTTGCGGGAAGAACAGAGTGACAAAATGCCCAGAAGTTGATAGGCTCCCAACAGACACACTTAATATCTTAAAATGCAAAATAAGACAAAATGAAATGCATACTCGCTCGTTTATTGAATGACAGTACCAAAACACCTTGATAATAATTATTTTAATTATAAATTATCTGATTTAAAGGCAAATAAGTCTTTCCCAAATTAAAAATAAATAAATTATATGAGGGTCCAAGGCATTAAAGATAAACCAAGAAATGTAGAATTTAGGAGAAAATGAGTATAGTGGGGTGATGGTTGCAGAGGACATCAATATCAATATGATTGTAATTGTGCAGGGTATGTGTGTTGGGGTGGAAGTGGGCATACAGGTTGGAAGGCTAATAGAGACAGATAACCCCTCTAGATATTTTAAATTTTCTTTATCATTGACTTTTATGTAATGTTTATAGAAATTATTGGACTGTTCCTAGATTATCCTACCATAATTTTTTTCCAATTTATCTATAGTGACCCCATAACTCTAAGTCTACCTTGATTCAGGTATGCTGTATAACAGTGTATTCCCTATGTGAAGGCAGAAAACCCAGCCAGTCTCCTTCCCCTTTAGGCCACTTGATAGATGCAGATAGACACATAGACACAAAGCAGATAGATTATTCATCCATATTTTATTTTTCTGTGACTGTAAAAAAGCTGCAGCCTAAGAAAGGATTTTTCTGAGAGATTTCTTTAAAGCACCAGTTGGCCTGGGATGTCTCTTTGGGCCTCCTCTGCTTTTCTTTTGAGCAGAGAAGTGTAGGATAGTTATACCATATACTAGCGCAACAAATTCCCTATGAGATTGTGTCCTATTATTTATCAGCAATTTTCTGAGGCAAGTCATTCCCAGACACCTGGGAATTCCCAATACACATGCAAATAATTATTTTTCACAGACATGACTTCTAAGTTAAATAAGTAACTGTACTAATTCATTGCACCATATTTCAGAATTTTGTATTTTAAAACTAAAGCAGAACCGAGTGATCATGGTACATATGGATGTGAGCAAAACAGTAAGACTTGAGCTTTAACAACTCACTTTAATTAAACTGAATTAACTTTAGCCTAAAGCTACCTTCCTACCTCTCTTAAATTTGGCCTAAAAGTTTCTGCATACATAGTAAACTGTAACCTAACTTGATGTGTACACAGACTGTTACTTACTGTATAACAAGTAGAGGAGTCTAAACCAGTCACAGCAACTGAACTTAAGTCAACCACAGGCGGCCAATGGTTCAAACCAAGTTCAAATAGGACAAACCGGGAGCGTTAACCAATCAGGCTATCTCTGTACCTCATTTCTGCTTGCTGTATGTCACTTTCCTTTTTGTGTCTATAAATGTTATTCAGGCACGTGAGAGCTCTGGAGTCTTATTAAACCTTTCCTGGTTCCAGAGGCTGTCAAATTCTTGTATTGTTCTTTGCTCAATTAAACTCTGCTAAATTTAATTTGTCTATAGTTTTTAACACTTTAAATAATAAGTGGAATATTAGCACATTGTGTTATAAAATCCACTATGCCAATCTTGAAATAGCACATGACACCATTAAATCTAATAAGTGTCATCCCAGAGGCAAGTGCTGACATTAAAGATATGCACACACGCGTTCCTGTAGAACAGAACGCTATTTTAGATGTAATCACCACATTTTAGTCATCAGTAGCCAGCCACTTTTCAATCTTCAAATTTTATCTTCAATATTTCAAAATGGTTTTTAGTTGAAATGCAACTGAAGTTTCAGTAGATAAAAATAAGTCTTAATTAGCTAACATTTGAGAGAGGGGTTTTGTCATTTTGAAACATGCACATGCACATTTATCTCATTTGGCTAAGTAAGAAACTTCTGTATAAATTGTTATTGCCCTATAAAATTCACTGAGAAGTTACTCTTTAGGTATTTCTTTTATTCCATTAGCACCAATACCTTGTATACTTTTTACATCTCTTTTACAAAACATGTCTTACGCTTTTTAAAAACTCAGACATTTATTATAAGTATATATATCCAGTAACCATAACTAATTAATTTTCATGAACACAAATAATTTCAAAAAGAACAAGGTGGCCTTTTTAGCTTGTGATATTATGTAATTTTATCATACATTAAATTTGTATTAAAAGAAAATAAACATTATCACATTGATTGAATTCAGGACATGCCACCCCAAAATATGACTGGAGTGAAACTGCCTTTGCAAAGATTATGAAAGCAAGAGAAGTTCAGCACGACTGACTCCATCTTGCTTATAACCTCGCAGGTGGGCCATTTTAGCTCATTCCTGGGCGTGAGCCAAGCTAACCATGGGAGAAATTTAATTTATAGTTTAACATTGAAGCAAGGATAATAGTCCCTTCCTAAAATTGATCCCCACCTTGTTCAGGGCTGAAACCACCTTTGTAAAACCTACAAAAGGCCACAAGATTAGGATTATGGAAGGAACCTGAATCCTGCTAAAATGTAGGCTTAGTTACTATAATCCCTTACTGCACAGGAGTCATGTGGCCAGAGGTCATAAGATTTGTGACTTCCCTAATTGCTTCTATAGATAACATCACTATTGTAGAATCTAAAGTTGGTCTTTTGAGATGTTTTTCAGACTTTTTCATTCTGACAACTGAGGAACCCCACCAAAACTCATGACTCATGATTCCACAGGTCCTGTGGTCCCACACCCAG